CTGTTTTAAAGCGCTGGCCCTCCAGTGAGTATAAATCCAGCGTAATGGCCCCCCATTCGGCTTGCCGAAGAACTCAGCTGGATTGATTCAATTTGACTCTAGAGCTTTAACAATTATTCTCAACCTTCAGCTAAAGACTGTCCATAGCAAAGGAGAGCTTAGTTAGCAAACTGTCTCTATATGGCAGAACGTTCCCTGGCCGTGGCGATACATACGCTAAGCCCGCGGGAAAAGGGGAAGCAGGGATTGTAAATTAACAAGGGGATGTAAAGAGAAGTTAGAGAACGAGAGAGAGCTGTAGCATTTTCTCGCTAGCTCAGCAGGCCCACTATTAGCAAGGGATTGGGATTCTCTGGCTCATCGCCACTGGACAAACATCTAATTAACGGCCATTAGAATCACAGCAGCCATATCCTCTAAAAGAAAGAGAAATCTAAAAAAGTTTTTTTTTACTGCTTGTGTAGACAACAAATGCAACAAATCATTTTGAATTAATTCATTAGCAATTTGGTCATAATTGAAACTTGAATGAATGATTCACCCAAAAATTAAAATTCATTTTTCATCATTAATTCACCCTCAAGTCGTTCCAAGTTGTTTTCTTTATTTCTGCTAAACTTAAAAAGATATTTAAAGAATGCAGGGAACCAAACAGTTTCTGGTCCCCACTGACTTCCATAGTATGGAAGTCAATGGGGACCTTCATCTGTTTGGTTACCAAACATTCTTTAAAGTACCACCTCCTTTGTTCCACAGAAGAAAAAAACTCATACAGGTTTGGAACAACTTGAGGGTGCGTAAATGATGATAATTTCCATTTTTGGATGAACTGTCCCTTTAAAGGCTTTGTCCAGTAATCACAAATAAGATCATGAAAAAAATCGCATTTTTATTGGTCAAATGTGGGAACCTTGAAATTTACCTTGAGAAGTTTGGCTTAGCTTATTAAGAAGCCAAATATTTTACTGTCAGAACTCCAAAACTCCATGTGTTGACATTTCCCACTGAAACTAAAATAAGAGAAACACAATTAAGAGTTTGCGGATTCACTGAGAGAATGGCAAATGTATAACGCTGCCAGTGACACAATGGCGTCCGTTGTTTGACACATATTCCAGGGAGAAGCAGCAAGACAAAGAAGCAACATACAGTAAAATCCACCAGCCATTAGCAGGTTTAGAATGTTAATTTTGGACCCTGGATCCATATAAAGGGACCTGAATGATGAGATGACAAACAAAGGCTGGAAAGATAGGAAAGCCACAATCCTTCACTTAATCAGCCATCTACAGGAACGCTGGAGAGGAGAACAGAGACATAAACACAACATTTTCCTAAATTATGTTTCAGCACAAGAGTTGTTTTGCTGCCTGAATTGGTCTAATGAGACATTAAGTCTCCTGGAAGGTGATCTAGGCTACAAAATCTAATGAAGGAAACGGCACGAAGTAAAGAAAAGCACAAACTTTAATTACAAGAAAACTGAAGTTGTTTTGACACAAAATATCAGGCCTAGAAAACAGTTACAACTATAAACATGAACAAAATGTGTTGGATATCAACAGATTCAATATCCAGATCCAATCTGTTGGGATACAATCAGCCACGTGAATGTTTAAACTTCAGATTTTTGTGGTCCAGTCAGGACAGGATGAGGATTGGTCAAAATACATGTAGCTTCACCGTAACGCAGAAAAAAAAAAACGCTTAGGAAAACCCACACTGAGCTCCAACTGGATTTTTAGAAGTTCTCAAGTAGTTCCATAATCCTCTTCTGCTCACTTTCCTTAAACTCCTCGCTCTTGCCGTCGCCAATATTTTCTGCGTATTCTGAAAAACGAGAGTGAAAAAGAAACAGGATGTTTAGTCATTTGGATGAATTTCATGTACGCCACCAAGCCCTGCCAAGAAACCCTTCCTAATGCTGTCTCAAAGGAGAGGCAGCATACTTTAATCCGGGAAAAAAAAAAAATCAAAGGGAGAATTTGTATCCCTGAATGTATTTTAAAAAATTTGTCACACATCCCTTGACTGCCCACCAGAGTTTATTTTCAGACCCCCTTCTTCACATATGGAGGAATGGATGGAAAAAGCTAGGCTTTATAAAAAGCTAAGTCTGGAGTTCAGGGTTTGAGGTAGCAGGATTTAAGAAGTACCATCCTTAAACGGGCAAATAGCTTTAAGATCCGTGGCCATTTGATGTGTGCCTTTGAGAGCGTGTCCCTCAGTCAGATCAAATCTGCCGGTTTGATTGAGGTCTGGCTATTTCGGGACACTCCAGTTTCTCGTAACCTGCAGCGAGCTGGAACGGTGCCCGAGAACTCAAAGGGCTACAGACGCTACGATAAAAGCAACATATGCTTAGAATGAGACTCTTATGACCGCTCTGGACCAATGTGATCGGAACGCAGTAAGGACACTTACAAGACTCCTCAACTTTACACAGAATGAGCTTGAGATCTTATTGATTTACCTGGAAATCTTCTCCTCCACTAAAGCTCTGAAATGGCATTAGCATCTGTATTACGACTCCAGGAAAAGCATGTGGACACGTTGAGCCAGGTTTGACGTCATTGACGGCAAACAACATTGGTTCTCAGCACATGTTGTGACCGTGTGAATATGCCGAATGGAGAATTAGATTTGAGAGCTGCAGTGGAGAACAAGATCATCCAAGATCTAATTTCAGTTTCTCACACAAAAAGGAAAAGAGCTGCATAAAATAAAAAGTTAAAAAATCCTCATCGTTGTTTTCAATGCAAAAAATAACAGCATACAGTTTTGCAATAGGGTTATTTTTATTTTTTAAATTGTTAACTGAAATAAAACTGAAAAACTTAAAACTGAAATTGAAATTAAAAAATTAACCCAAATAGTAATATTCGAAATATTGTACAATATGCAGTGGGTAAAATAAGTATTGAACACGTCACCATTTCTCTCAGTAAATATATTTCTAAAGGTGCTGTTGACTTGAAATTTTCACCAGATGTCGGTAACAACGCAAGTTAAAAAAATTTTGTTAAAATAAATAAATGCTTTTCTGATGTGATGTGATTTGAAATTTGAAAAGGGAGAAAAAAAGTTCGCCAAAAGGCAGATTCGAACCCGGGTCGATCGCGTCAAAAGGAGTAGGCCTATGACACGAACTTTACCATCTACGCCACTGAATCTGACGATTGATGACCGTCTTTTGTAATGTTGACTAGCCCAGTCACACGTTGGTGGGTGGAGTTAGTGTAAATAGCCTCTGCCAACAAGGCGGGCTATTTGCACTTAGTGTAAATAGACACTCCGATTTCTTTTTTTAATTCCCAACAATTGCCCACAGAAAAAAACTTCCCGCGCCTATGGAAATTAAATTATGTGTAATAAAATGGAATGACAGAGAAAAGGTATTGAACACATGAAGAAAGGGAGGTGCAAAAAGGCATGGAAAGCCAAGACACCCATTTATTGGTGAACAATTCCTTTAAAGATTATATATTAAGGCGGTTTCACATAACACCATTTATGCATTTGCCAGATGCTTTTATCAAACGCGATAAAAACATTGCACTGAAAGTACAGTATGTTGTCAATTCCTGCATTCCCTTGGGATTGAACCCATAACCTTGGTGTTGCTGGCGACATGCTCTACAATTTGATGGTGCGTTCAAGTCATGTCGGATAGATCGTATTTACGAGTTGAATGCACATGAACACCACCACAAAGTCGTTATTACGAGTGGGAAACTCGAAATTTTCTTTAAGCCCCGAGTTTCCAAGTTGGCTTTTATCCGCTGTATATACAGTATATAAAGACAACTGCTAATAACAATATTACTAAAAATTAAACTAAAATACACAAATAAAATAAAATTAATTATTTTTAGCAGCATGAGCTATAGAAAAACCTGTCTTTAAAATGAAAATGAGCATTGACAAATCGTTCACAATAAGACCGGGAATGTGCATTAAAAAAGTAAATAGGGTCCGTTTTGATTTCATGCTGACTTTAACAGTGTTTTTGGAAGTGTACACAGCAAGCAGCATGCGTGTAAAGGTAGACATGCTCTTGGATTAGTTTCTAAGCCCTGCTCAAGCCCTGGGACAGAGGATCAAACCCAATGAAAAATAAATAAATAAATCAATAAGATGGGTTTTTTAAGAAGGGAAAAAAGCAAAGTGGCACATTGAAACACAAGCCTGAGGGCTGGTGAAAGTGGCTGAAATAACACAGAGGGAGGATTGGGGGAGTCTGCATGCTGGATGATTTGAGGGGGATTATCCATTATGAGCTCTGAGATGCTGGAAACTTCAGCCCACTGCAGAGGCGCTTCCCACTGACACCAGTACACACAGCTCAAGGTCATGCATGTAAGAGAATGACACACTCTGTATGACTCAAATGCGGCCTTGGAGCGCGTCGAGGCTTCTGTAGGTGTTTTCATTTCCCAATTTCTACAGTAAAACACAGTCGCCGCCGAACTCCGCAAATGAAACTCGTTTTCACCAGTGATTTCTTGCTTAGCAGCAGCTATTTTTTTATCTAGGTAACGGGCATTAGGTTAAACTACAGAAAATTACCAATAAACCCTGACAATGACGTTATAGATGTTGCTTCTCTGGCTCAAATCTTACACCAAAAAGTGTTTAAAAAAAATAATGCAACAAATGCTTTTAGCTAATATGCATGCAACAAAACAAGGCAGTGCTTTTACTAATGAGTTGGTTTGTTCATTTCATCAAAAATGCAGGATGCACAACAGCTGGTTTCTTTAAGTAAAAATTCCAGTTACTCTCCATTGAAAAATGATGGCCTTTTATTAGTCAATCTTATATAACAGACACTTTCCAGATAGAATGATAAAACAATAGAAGGATAAAGTAGACAGAACAGAAATATCAAGTGAATGAGGTAGAACAAACAATATAATGATAGATAGATAGATAGATAGATAGATAGATAGATAGATAGATAGAAACGAATGATGGGAGTGATGGATAGAGGAAGACAGATAGATAGAATGGCAGACAAATCGAATGATAAAGACTGACAGAACAAGAGACAGATATTAAAGAGACAGATAGAACCACAGACAAACATACAGAAAGAACCACAAAGACAAAACAGATAGAGACAGAATGACAGACAGATAAAACAACAGACAGAGAGACAGAATGACAGACAGAGAGAATGAGACATAAAATGACAGAGACAGAATGATAGACAGATAAAACAATAGACAGAGAGACAGAATGACAGATAGATCAAGAAATAGAATGACAGACAGAGACAGAGTGACAGACAGATAAAACAACAGGACAGAGAAACAGAATGACAGACAGATAGAACCACAAAGACAGAACACCAGACAGATAGATAGAATGAAAGACATACAGATAGAATGACAGACAAACAGATAGAATGACAGATAGATCAAGAGATAGAATGACAGACAGACAGATAAAACAACAGACAGATAGAGAGACAGAATAACAGAGAGAACAGACAGAGAAATAGAATAACCGACAGAGAGACAGATGACAGACAGAGAGACAGATAGATAGAATGATATGGATGGACAGATAGACCCAGACGGAACGTCAGACAGACAGATAGAATGAGAGGCAGATAGATAGAATGACAGACAGATAAAACAACAGACAGAGATAAAATGACAGACAGATAGAGAGAATGACAGACAGAGAGATAGAATGACAGACAGAGAGATAGAATGACAGAACAAGAGATAGAATGACAGACAGAGAGATAGAATGACAGAACAAGAGATAGAATGACAGAACAAGAGATAGAATGACAGACAGACAGATAGAATGATATGGATGGATTGATAGACACAGACGGAACAACAGACAGACAGATAGAACGACAAAGGCAGGCATATAGACAGAACGACAGACAGAGAGAACGGCAGAGATATAGAAAGACATGAACACTTTTTAGGCATCTGTCCAACCCAAAACAATCACAGTGTTTGCCTACGGTGCACTGTAACATTTCCATCAGCCAAACCAGCAAACAAACCGCGATGACAGTTAAACCGCAGAGCAAACGCAACCTGTCTAATTCCTCCTGTAACATTTGTTTTCATTTTTCCCGTGATTGCGTTTAATACCGCATAAGCACATTTGCAGGGGCCTGGCACACGCTCGCCCGTCTGACACGACCGCAGCTGCTACAGAGGACAGGTGAAAATGTCAATTTCTCACCCGGCCGGGGCACGGATCCGGCCCACACCAGCTGCCCAGAGACGCTTTCACACCCCTCCAGCAGCTGAGAGCCACCCCGACCCGTCACACTCCTCCACACGCCGCAGGACCGGCCAGTCTTTGACCACTAGTGTGAGGGACGCAATAAAAGCTGCCAAATCACAACTAAGACTTTCAGTAGGTTCTGAAGAAAATCTAAATCATCAAAATATTTGAATGTGCAGTTGTAAAGATTGAAAACTACATAGTATTTTTGAAAATTGGCTTAAATTGAGCTTCCTAATCAGATAGAAAATTTATAAAAGCTAAATATAAGCAAGATAAATAGATAATGAGATTAGTGCTAACGTTTAATTGTCATACAAATAATTGCGATTAACAATTTAATTCTGTTTTGTTCATGTTACTTAGTGTAAGCTTAAATGCATTTTTGATTTTTAATCATATATAATATATAATATAATAAAAATAGACTATCATTATTTGTTATAATGCTGTGAAACTTAATATTCATGTAACTATAACAATTTAATAAATATAATATGAATTTTGTTCTGATGATTAATTTTCACAAAAATTGCTCTAATGCTGTGAAAATGAATACAATTTATATACTAATTTATCATATGTTTTAATAAATGTATTACGATCATGAATTTTATGCTGACAATTGTCATACAAATAATTGCGATTAACAATTAAATTTTGTTTTGATAGTGTTACTTCGTGTAAGTCTGATAAGTTTTTTTTTTACTTTTTCTATCACATATAATATAAACATAATCAAATAAAAATATAAATAGACCTGTATGATTTACTTTAATGCTGTAAAAATTAATCATATTTATGTAACTATTTATAATATAATACAATATAATGATCATGAATTTTTTGCTGACAATAATCATACAGATAATTGCAAATAATTATTTAATAGTTAATAGTATAATAATAGTTATTTTTTTACTTGGAATTGTAATATAATAATAAAAAAGATAGACCTGTATGATTCACTTCAATGCTATGAAAATTATATTATTTTTATAAATTGTATTATAAATAAATTATTTATTTATAATATAATTAGGTATAATATAATTGTATAAATATAATTAGAATATTGTGCAGTTGGTGGTATTGCTTTCAGCACTTAAATTTGCCACATTTGGATGGCAAAATGTGACTGAAATTTAATCTGCACAACAATTGTTATTAGATCGAATAACCACAATCAGACGATTAATCAATCGCAACAGGCCTAAATATGACGAATATCACCAAATATTATGCATTTCCAATTCTAATATGTTTGAATTTAAATATGTTGCATGTAAAATCCGAACATCTTTGAGAATCTGCGGTGAATGGACAGTCTGAAAGGGCTAAAAACAAGAATCCCAGACACCATTAGCTCACATTAACAGCACCTTCTAAAGAGCAATGCTTCCGCCTTTGAACACCCTCGACTGCCTCTCTAAACGAGCAGCGAGAGTTACAGCCCGCTGTTTTCATCTCTGTCACCAGCTACAGCAGAGTTCAGGTGGGAACGTCCTCCCCCGATGAATCATTAATAATGAGGAAGTGCAGAATTTAAACAGAATACACAACCACCAATCAGAAATTGTTACTATAAGCCTAAATGGTTTATTAATTGTGATATATATATACACACACACACTTTAATATTTGAAATGTATATAATATATGTATATATGTGTGTGTGCATATATATGTTTCATATAACAAAATGTTTTTTTCTATTTTTGTGAATATTATGCAGAACATTTTTGTAAATAATATTCAGTGTTATGTATGAAAATATATATACACAATTTTTATAAATGAAATAATTTACATACAATATATATATATAAATGTAATGTTAAATGTTAATACATCAAATTCATATACAATATGTATGTGTAAATTATAAAACGTCATTAAAATTAAAATGTATATTTGCTCTATATTTTATTTTTACACACACACACACA